CAGCATTAATGCCGCTAAGGTTATTTTGGACCAAAAAAACGTGTTTCTTCCACTCTGAGTGTTTTTCATGAATTTCTTATAGAAGCACTTTGGTTATTTTTCTTAATATCTTCGGGCAAGTTGGCATTTCTACATTGATTTTTGCCAAGAAAATATCCATATGTTTTAATTTTCCAAAGGTAAAGTCTTGTCCTGAATTCCAATGATATATATATATATATATATATATATATACATATATAAAATATATTTTTAGTGCTAATGAAAAAAAAAGAACAGTAGACAAACATGGGCTTTTAATACTTTATTTTTGCATTTATTTATAAAAAGAATCGTGAAAGTGTAGAAGATAATAATAAAAAAAGAAAGTTTATTTACTCTCCCAGTTGCCAAGACATATAAAAGCCATAATGTCTATAACTGCTCAGTGTTCCACCCTGTAAGGGAAAGTCTGTGGTCACAGATGCACCATGTTTCTGGCCTCCTCTGCATAAATATCCGGTATCTCTCCTAAAGCAGAGGGAACCATCCTGACTGAACTGCTGCCTCTCAGCTCCTCCTCATATCGGATGAGCTGCTTCCAGAAGCCGGGGTTCGGTCTAATGATGGGCCGGCATCTCCTCAGCATCCTGTGGGCCTCCAGCAGACTCATCCCTCGGTGTTTGATCAGGAAGGCCAGGCAGAGGGCGGCGGAGCGGCTCACTCCGGCGTTGCAGTGAACCAGTGTGCGGCCACGGCTCTCTGCGATGCTCTGGATTTTATCCGCCACCTGGTCAAAGTGATCTCTGAGTGAGGAGAGCGGGGAGTCGGATACCGGGATGTGGATGTACTCCTCCACACCAGGAGGAGAGCTGCTCCTGGTCTCTGTGGCGTTTATGATGCAGGTTATCCCACTGCCTGTCACCTGGGAGCAGTCCTTAGCTGCTCGGCCATTACTCAGGAAAAGGTGGTCGGTGACTCGGCACAAGCCAGAGAAACCAAGGCTTCCAGACTGATGCATAAAAGACGGGAAAAGGTCAGAAGTTGTCTGGTTTCATTTAAAATCCGCCAGCAGAGGAAGCGGAGGCATACGGCAACCGAGGAAGATCAAATCAGAACGAACTCACGTTACGATGTCGCCCCCTAGTGGATAATGATTTTAAACTAAAATATTTAGCTATCCCGCTTCAAATTAGTGCAAAGCACAGTTGGTCGGTAACTAGTTACATCTACTGGAGTAACTTGAAAAAATAAATAAATACTTTTATGAGCACTTTTCAAATCAGTAAAAATATGATGAAGATTTCTATCTAAGTAAGTTAAATAACATGCTGCTGTCATTTTGCACATCTCTGATGTTGCAGCTGTTTTCAAATCCATTAGTGTAAAAATGTCCATAGCTTTATATTGGTTATTTCATCTCCAAGTGCACAGTTTTATGTTGTTAAAATACTTTAAAGTACAGTATTTTATTGTTTCTCTTTTAACTCTTCACTATTGCTATTCTTATACATTTTTCTAAGGTTCACATTTGTGTGACCATTTTTTCCCATAATCTTTTTGCTGCTGTAAACACCAGAATTCCCCTATTGTGGGACAATAATGGGATTTTCTATTCTATTCTATTCTATTCTATTCTATTCTATTCTATTCTATTCTATTATTTAACTACAATTTCTGGCTTTTCAATCAATTGTGAGTAACTTCAAACAAGGTAATTTTAAACAAACATGCCCCAATGAGGAATACATTCTTTACCTTCACTACACATGGATATACTTAAGTATATTCTGCTGTAAAATGAGTCTTATCGGGCTACCTTCAGCTTCATCTCCTGGTCCCAATCTTTACTCACTGTAGAAGCAACGGTCCACCTCTCCCTCTTCGGTTCTTTCAAAGAACATTTTTATTTTGGGAAGTTTTTTCTGTTATTCCAGCAGCTCTTCTTTCCTTTTTCTTTTCTGCTTAAGTACCTCTTTTTGGTATCGATCGTCGCTAACACATTGTACATAACAGATATGGTTATAATCTACACTGTGGATTACCCATAATTCCAAGTCGTATTGTAAGAAATAAAATACTCAAATACATCATTCTTTTAAGATCTTTATTTCGGTTTGAAACATATTATAGGAGAGTATTTTTTACCAGCCGTCTAATGAACTATACACAGTTATTAACATAGTAATTAAAAGTACTACTGTCTGCTTTGCTATTAGGTGTCGTATTTAAACGGATCATCATCATGTTGAAATCTGGCATGTGTTGCGGTATAAATAAGGTGTGATCAGTCATCTTATTATCAGGTGGGTTTAAGAAGAATTTTTCACACTATTACATCTGCAAACAGACGTCCTAGTCCACTAAAGCATAGAGGGCCACCCAGGTGTTAGTGATGGGGCCCCTAAGCAACTGCAGTCTCTGCTTATCGATAGTTACGCCACTGGTTCGTTTCACGAAGCAGATTTACTGAAAGCTCTTAAAGGAATAGTACACCCAAAACATGATTAGCCTTCATTTTCTACTCACCCCCATACTGAACAACACTCTGGAGTACTTTTTTGATATCNTGGCCCGTCTATCACCAACATAGGCCAAACAGCTAACCAGTATTTTCGCCCCTTCCCAAAATTACTTCAACGGAAGGTTTCCAGAAGGATATGCGGAGCAAATCCATCTGGCGGAGTCAGGTTAGATCTTCAGTGAGGCGAGAATGTTTTTTTTATGTGGATGATAGACAAACATAACATAGTTATAAAATGAGGGATTGTTAGTATATACTTCATTTTTAGGCCTACAGTCTACAGCATAATAAACACTGTTTCTATAAGTTAGTTTCTATAGCTGTAATATATTAAATAGTTTTTATATTTCAAAAAGTAGTTCAGTCTTGAACAATTCTTGAGGAAATTCTCCTTTATAGTTTTGGACTTAATCTAAGCTTCAATTTCATGTGAAGCTACTTTGAAACAGGGTGAAAAAACAGTTTAGTTAGATCTTATAGAATATTTCATCTTGCTATTTTGCTAAACTACTAGTTAGCAGAGTTCAGAGGGAAAACTAGACATCCTTCTCCATAGTGACACTCCACCTTAGTTTTTTTCTGTCAAGAAGAACATTTTTGGGGAATCCTGTAAGCTCCATGTTTTTATTTTTGTTTAAATCTTTTTAAAAACATAAATAAAGGTGAGAACCACATTAATCTGAGATAATTCAAAAAATATCAAAAGGAAATAGCAAGATAAAAATTGATACAAAAATTATAAAATGCAGAACTGAGTTAAATAATTAATTTGTGTATATAAGCTGCATTTAGGTGTTTAAAGCTTTTTAATTGTCAATTGTTTTAAAATAGAGCTTGAGGTCATTTATTCAGGAGAAATGGTTTCCTTCTCAGTATTATCCTTTTGTGAATTTAGAACTTTGGATTTTGTAGGAGCTGAAGTGTCTAAAACCAAAGTAATGAAATTGGGATTTGATCCTCTTAGGTATTAGAGCTTTAATATCTTTCCAAAGTTTTTTGACCAATTACAGAGACTTCTTTTTATTCTTTAGTAAGAAAATATTTGTATAGAAGAGACCAGAATAGACTCATTTGAGGTTCTGGATGCTTCTTGCATCCAGAATGCTCCTTTTAGTCTGTATCTTATGAACATATGAGAGGAAAGCGGTGTTTATGCATTTAACCATTTACAGGGCAAGTTACCATTTTTGATCACTTGCATACCTCTTAGAAATGGAGTTCCCCGCCATCCCTCAGTGGGGTCTAGAAGCACAAGATCTATATCCGGCCATTAAGCAAAGATCCTGCTACATGGCTGTACATCTTATTTTGGCGTTTGACCGATTAGATGAGCCCTTGAATGATATATTACCTACTGTAAATTAAGTTGGGAAAAAAAAGGTTAAGAAAAAAAGGTAAAGTAAAAAAGTGAATAAGCCTAGTTAATTATTTCTTGATTTATAAACTAAAACACTTAAGTGCCAGTATCAGCATTAATGCCGCTAAGGTTATTTTGGACCAAAAAAACGTGTTTCTTCCACTCTGAGTGTTTTTCATGAATTTCTTATAGAAGCACTTTGGTTATTTTTCTTAATATCTTCGGGCAAGTTGGCATTTCTACATTGATTTTTGCCAAGAAAATATCCATATGTTTTAATTTTCCAAAGGTAAAGTCTTGTCCTGAATTCCAATGATATATATATATATATATATATATATATACATATATAAAATATATTTTTAGTGCTAATGAAAAAAAAAGAACAGTAGACAAACATGGGCTTTTAATACTTTATTTTTGCATTTATTTATAAAAAGAATCGTGAAAGTGTAGAAGATAATAATAAAAAAAGAAAGTTTATTTACTCTCCCAGTTGCCAAGACATATAAAAGCCATAATGTCTATAACTGCTCAGTGTTCCACCCTGTAAGGGAAAGTCTGTGGTCACAGATGCACCATGTTTCTGGCCTCCTCTGCATAAATATCCGGTATCTCTCCTAAAGCAGAGGGAACCATCCTGACTGAACTGCTGCCTCTCAGCTCCTCCTCATATCGGATGAGCTGCTTCCAGAAGCCGGGGTTCGGTCTAATGATGGGCCGGCATCTCCTCAGCATCCTGTGGGCCTCCAGCAGACTCATCCCTCGGTGTTTGATCAGGAAGGCCAGGCAGAGGGCGGCGGAGCGGCTCACTCCGGCGTTGCAGTGAACCAGTGTGCGGCCACGGCTCTCTGCGATGCTCTGGATTTTATCCGCCACCTGGTCAAAGTGATCTCTGAGTGAGGAGAGCGGGGAGTCGGATACCGGGATGTGGATGTACTCCTCCACACCAGGAGGAGAGCTGCTCCTGGTCTCTGTGGCGTTTATGATGCAGGTTATCCCACTGCCTGTCACCTGGGAGCAGTCCTTAGCTGCTCGGCCATTACTCAGGAAAAGGTGGTCGGTGACTCGGCACAAGCCAGAGAAACCAAGGCTTCCAGACTGATGCATAAAAGACGGGAAAAGGTCAGAAGTTGTCTGGTTTCATTTAAAATCCGCCAGCAGAGGAAGCGGAGGCATACGGCAACCGAGGAAGATCAAATCAGAACGAACTCACGTTACGATGTCGCCCCCTAGTGGATAATGATTTTAAACTAAAATATTTAGCTATCCCGCTTCAAATTAGTGCAAAGCACAGTTGGTCGGTAACTAGTTACATCTACTGGAGTAACTTGAAAAAATAAATAAATACTTTTATGAGCACTTTTCAAATCAGTAAAAATATGATGAAGATTTCTATCT